AAAATTTTGGTGAAGGCGCCGGGACAAATTAAAACAAAGGCTATAATTAAGCTATAATTCAGGTTTCATTAAAGCAAGTTGACGAATTTTCATCTTTAAATTATATTATTTTAATGTAGATGCAGTTAGGGGTGTTAATTTATATTCTGCTTTTACAATTATTAAACTTCTATTTATAAAATAATATATAGACAACCAAACTTACAGAAAATGGCACAACTTTAATGATGTAACTATAAAGAAATTTAAGTAAGTGAAACTCGGATCTTCGAAATAGAAATGATGAATTAATTAATTTCTGTATTTATAAAGACATCCGGAAAAATTTCGTTAAAACCCTTTCACATTTTTATAACTTGAAATTAGTAAAGATACATACGTAACTTTGTATCATTATTGATGTAATTTTCTAGGATTTGTAACTGTTTTTATCCTTTTTTCGGAAAACCATCGCCCAATAAAAAAAAATAAATCCAAATTTCGATTTGATTTTTATCTGTTCTTTTGCTAGTTTAAAAAGTACTTAACTCGATGTATACGACCTTGTTGATATTCGTTGTGGACGGTTAATCCTTGTTCACATAGAAAGAACGATTTATAAATTACACATAGAAATTTCGAAATCCTTATCAAACGGTTAGGACTCCTGTCCTGGCGTAACCCTGACTACGACCCTGGGGTTCCTACTAGAGGACGAAATATATGTGTAGTATGCCCATGTGACTATCATGAAAAATGAATGTAAAATTGTGATCGCAATTTAGTAATGTTGTTTTTAAAATGATCACATCTTAAGTTTTAGCTATTTTACGGGGTTTTCTAAAGCTTTACAAACAATAAACTGATATAACATAGAATGGGAGTTTTAAATGTTTCAAGAATTAATTGATAAAACTATACGTTAAGAAATAACAGATTTATTGAACAAAAGTTCACAGATGCAATTCTTAAAAATAGATAAAAAGATTGTATAGTGTCCAAAGTCTTTTTATAATATAATTTTTCCCGTAACGTTTCCCCCTTGGATCTAAAAAAAACAAAACATATTGAATTTCCAAAACAATTTTCAAGTTTAGTTCGGCTAAAAGCCAATAAAAACCATGAATTAAAAAAGTTATATGTACCCTATTCCGCTATAATTGTTTCGAGTGGTGCTGCGGGTGCTTCTGGTGCAGCTTCTCCAGCAGGTGCTTCAGTTGGAGGGGCAGGTGGGCTAGCTTCTGCGGATGGCGCCGAGCCTTCTGGCGGTGGAGCTACTTCGGTTGGTGGCGCACCCTCAGCTGATGGGGTTCCTTCAGTGGGTGGCGCACCTTCTGTTGGAGTTGCTCCTTCAGCAGAAGGCGCCCCTTCCGCAGGTGGTGCGCCTTCTGCAGGTGGTGCGCCTTCTGCAGGTGCTACGCCTTCTGCAGGTGTTGCGCCTTCTACAGGTGGTGCACCTTCTACAGGTGGTGCGCCTTCTGTAGGTGGTGCGCCTTCAGCAGGTGGTGCGCCTTCAGCGGGTGGCGCTCCTTCTGTCGGAGCGGCGCCTTCTGCAGGTGGTGCGCCTTCAGGCGTTGGCGCTCCCTCAGCTGGTGGTGCCCCTTCTGTGGTTGGTGCTCCTTCAGCTGGTGATGCTCCTTCTGTAGGCGGCGCTCCTTCTGTGGGTGGTACGCCTTCTGCAGGTGGTGCGCCTTCTGCAGGTGGTGCGCTTTCTGCAGGTGGTGCTCCTTCTGCTGGTGGTGCTGCTTCTCCCTCTGTAGTTGGCGCACCCTCTGCAGGCGGAGCTCCTTCGGCGGGTGGTGCCCCTTCAACGGGTGGTGCTCCCTCTTCAGGTGGTTTAGCTTTTGTTGATGTTTTATCGCGTTTGTTACTTGGTTTGTGATAACATGATCTGTACTATGCTTACCTTCGCCTGCTGCTTCTCCTTCCTAGAAATTAAAATTACATGAAAATTAAATAGGAAAATAAGTACTTACAATATACATAAGTAAAGAAGTTTGTGAGTTGTGTAATTTGTAATTAGTTCAATTTTTTACTTTGTAAAAGTGTTGTAATTTTGAATCATTTCTAATTTTATTACGGTAACTCTCTTGAAATATATTTTTGTGATCTCTAAAAGAATCATGTTTACTCACCTTTTCAAAATATTCTATTTACGTGTCCAAAAATTTGTGTATTTTTGAGAATAATTGTTCATTTCAGTTAACGTTTTTATCATGCCATACACTTGACCAACACAGAACGTTTCACATTATTATAGTTTAAGTTTTAAACGTAATATTATTCGTCAGGAGTTTTTTTACTTCATTTAGGGTAACATTCGGTACAGGTAACACACTCTGAATTCACTGTTAGTGTCCATTCAATAAAACATGACCGATTAATTACTGGTTTAATCATACAAGTCAAAGAAAGTGTTCGACAAAACAGGACTTCAACAAACACATGTGGGTATAAAGTGCAGTAATTTTATTTTCAATATATTATATGTATCTTTTCAGTTAAGTTGTTTCATTATTTTTTAATTGTAAAAATAAACATAGACAAGTACTCTTAAATTAGGTAATAACAATATTTTAAAAAGACGAAAGACGACACTAGGGAGATGCTCATGCTTCAGCTTCTTGTACCTTCTCTCCCTTCTTTGACCAATCCGGCTTCTTCTGCAAATTTGAAAAGAAAATCCTATTAATTTTTTATAATCACAATATGTGTGAGAACAACACCGAAACTGAACAACGATTGTGCTCTGGGAAATCCTGGTGCAAAAAGAAAATAAGTCAAAGACCATATAATGATGCGAAAGCTATTAATTATAAACATGACATATAAATATGAAATTTAAATAATAAATCATTAGTGTTGTTGGTGCTTATAGTCGAAATAACTATTATGGCAAGAGCAACGCCAATTTATATTTTCAGTACGTTATCATGAAGTTGAAACCCTAAGAATCTTTAAGTTGATTACGATTAGCCAATATTCACACGTTATAACTGTTAGATAAATAAGCAGGGAGAGAGCGAATGTAAAGATAGGAGACGAAAAATTAGAAGAAGTGGCTGATTTTAGGTATCTAAGAAGTCAGGACAGAAGGAGTAGTAGGGATATAAACAGAGGATTATGGAAGTCAATAAGAAATAGGCGAGATAAGTTGGTAGGACAACTCCTCAGCCATGAAGGGCTAGTCAGAGACATGTTAGAGGCAGAAACAGGAGTTAAGATTAAATTACTGTTCGTAAATAGTTAAGGATGTGGGATGTTCTGGTTTTAGGGAAATGTAAAGATTAGCCCAGGATAGGAAAGAAAAAAAAAGCAGGTGCGTGTTCAACCAGTCTTAGGACTATCGATCTTATAATGATAATAACTGTTAAAAATCAATTTGATCTAACGCTGCCCTTACTATAGCATAACTGTAACAAAAAAAAATAATAGAGATTAAAGAGAGAACTGTGATAACCGATGATGTTTAATTTTAGAAAGAAAATGCAATAAATACATGTGCATGTCGTTAATAGCTTCTTTTGCAAGTGCCAGAAATTTGAAGTTTTGCAACAAATACCTAAAGCGTGTTGTGAAAAGCGTTTCTAACAATAAGTACAGTATAAATACTACAGCAGCCAAGCGTTTTACATTATTAACGAGAGCTCACCTTTGGAACCAAGTGATTGTTTAAGAAGAATTCGTTAAAAAAAGCTTAAAAAATTGCAAAACTATAGCTAAAAATGCCCTTTACCCATGTAGGAATAAAAGGGTACAAAAAGCCTAAAGAGAGAGTAATAAGAAAAAAGAAAAAGTAGTATAAGAAAATTCATTAAAAAGAGAAAAAAAAAACAAAAGGAGGGAAGAAACACGTAGAATGTCTAATCGTTTGTTTTATTTCGAAAATGTGTAGATATTATAATTAGTAGATCTGTTCTAACGTAATTAATTAAGAAGTGGAAGTTGGATGATTATTTCTTCTGCCACTCAGCTTTTTCCGACTTCTTTGGCTGCGAAAAATAAACGATTGTCTAATAACAATACATTTACTATAATTTAAAAGATACAATCCAGAGTGGTTTCTCTCTAAACAGGAGTTCGAACAGGAAAATTCGTGCTCTTGTAATATCATCATAAATAAATTTAAGGTATTTAAGTTAAATAAAACGAAACTTTGGATTTTTAATTATAATCGTAAAATCTAAAGTTTCTTTAGTTTATTAATTTATTATAATGCACCTCTATGCTAAAGCTTATTTTTTAAAAATGCATTTAGAAAGACTGTTTAATAATCCCCATTAACCTTTGTAATTTTATTGCTGGTTTGTATCTTTCTTATCTACACACCAGTATACACCTGTCGAAAATCTTTAACCAACCATGCAAAATGCCTTCCACTTGGAACTTACAATACGTACTTTCCTATAGCTGGGACGTTTAAAATTGGCACAGTCCGCAATAAAATTGTCGCATTTACTTTCTTCTTTCAACTTACTAACTAAACTAGACCGGTTGCTGACAGAACGCCTATTTTCACTCACGACAGTCGTTAAAGGGAATATCGTAATCATAAAAAAGAGATGCCAGGTGGGAATTGCAGCGGACACTAATAAATAAAAAGGAATAACATTACACCAATTAAGGTGTAACAGAAAGAGATGCAGACAAGCAAGAACAAAGCAAAGGCAAAGTTGCTTGTTTAATGATATAAGTCCAATCAGGCAGTTATAAAGCCGACCCTGATCTTTTGCGTACCTAAGCAACCTCTAACTGCTGCACCGTTTACTGTTATTCGGTTATCTCTTTTCACTTTGTCTGCACTACTCATGAAGTATTTCCTAACTTAACTAACTACTACAGTCTTAAGTGGAAACAAGAATGAAGATACGTCTGTTCTTACAGATAATTTATTACGGACTTTGCCAATTTTGATCGTTTCAACTGTACTTCTTGAAAATGTCCGGGAATTTTACAGAAGCTGCAATTATTAGGTTCGAACAACGTAAGGGAGAACAACTACCACCTGCGATACACCATAATCATCAACCCTACATATATTCCATGCGTTTGAAATACATACAGGTGATAAAATATACATGTGGTAGGTTAAAAATTTTCCTAACGTATACCTACAGTTTGTATTTATTCTATACAGAGTGTTATGAAGAAAGTTGAAGCAATTTACACTGTTATTAATTCGTAATACATTTTCTTACCTCTTTGTCTTCTTCTTCGAGGGTGAATTCTTTCTTTTTAACTACTTTGAGTTGGTTACGGAAGTTGAATTCTGCTGCCTTCTTTTGTAATTTGGCAAATTTGTTTTCATATTTAGATACCTTTTTAAGGGTTGGTTTGATACTGGAACAAATACAGGATCGCAAGTTGTAATAATAGCACATTCCTTTGCCGTATTTTATTTAAAAATTAAATTGTCTTTTAGACGTTACTTACAATTTGCCTCTTAGGTCGTTAACTTGGCTGTTCAAGTCGGCAATCTAAATAGAAACACATCTTTTTAATAATAATTTGATTTCGTTTAAAAATTGTAGAAATACCTTTGCTCGTTAGGTACTATTGAAATTTCAAATTATGAATTATACTATAGGCGAGCAAAAATATTTTGCGACAACTAAAGGCACAAATAGTGATGCTTGAAGCTGATTCCAGTTAATGTAATAGCTACAAATACACACTACAATAATGGTTTAGTGTTGAAATTGAAAGTTAGCAGTTAATGCTCACGTGAATGTCAAGGAAAGAAGGAAAATTCGGAAAAATGCTACAAAAATTGACAGTACGTAATGTGCATGTGTACAACTGCGATATAAGTAAGTGTAAAAAGTTCTACAAAAGGAACTTACAAAAGAACAGAGTAAAATGCATTGCAGAGTAAAAATATATAGAAATTAATACAGGATGGCATCAAATATGCTTGTACAAGACGCTATTTGAAAAATAATTACAGATTTATAGCGTTAAGTAACTATTACTGTTATCAGTAGGTATTTTTTAAAACAATTTTGAAATTTTNGCCGACAGCTGCAACAATTAGAAAAGAATGATGGCCGACAGATGTGTAAAAAATACATACATAAAAATTAATTACTATTGATTAATAATATACAATTAGATAAGCGAACATTCAGGACCTCTCACGACAACTTTAGGCGAGTAAAAACATGTAGAGAACCAAGTGAAATCAAAAAATACAATTTTTACTGCATAAATGTTTCTCATTTTCTTGGTTATCTTCATATTTTCATTCTAAGGCAGGCAAGGAACATCCTGTATGTATAGTATATACATATATCTATATTATGCGTATATAAATGCAAAATTATGTTGTTTAGGAAACATATTAATTGTTATTATCTTATATACCTTCCTGTTGATATTCCATAATATCAACATCAAGTTCAACAGGCGCGGAAGAGGTAAGTTAAATAAACAATTAATCAAAGAACTGAAGAGTGTCTTCCAATTTTTCTACTATTTTTTTATAGAAATTAATTTGTTCTTTTAAATAATTTCTCATTGTAATTTTTAAATCAATTTCGCGTTCACATTTGAAATGATTTAGTTCGGCAAAAATCGCGTAGGTAACGGTATCAGTGCGTTTTCTTACTTCGTTTAATTGACCTGGGGGCATGTTGATTTTTTCGCATTCTTTTCGTTTCTGTTGAGCCCCTCTGTGGATTGCAAATATGTCAGGAAAAGCACCTGTAATGCCTCTGTAGACGTAAAGCTTGTCAGCAAGGGGTTCCCAGTCCAATTTTGGTTGATCCTCGTATATTTTACCAATGTCGAAGTATGCAGTGCCTATCCGTTTTATCCCTGTTGCCAAATCAGGGGGTTTTGCTTTCTCTGCAGACTCTATCGCTGTTCCTAAACTATAAAAACTTTCGCCAATTTTGCAAAATTCTTTTTTGAATGCTGTCGAATATTTACGACATTGATCTGTTGCTGTTGCCTGTAAATTTTTAACTGCCGCATCCAAATTGTGTATGAAATTAATGTTGATTTCCATTCGTTCATCTACCCAAGACTGAAGTAAATTTTTGTCTGGGGCTTCTATACAAAGACAAAAGTTAGCTCCTTGCAAAGGATCCCTTTCTGCAGCTCTTTTACCCTGCTTCCATAATTTCTCATCGGTGCAGGTAATAAAATGTTGCCATACATCACACTTGGACAGAATTGGATGTTTACAGACCCAATTAACAAATTCTTGCAGTTGGACTCTTCGATGTTCTATGAAATGTTCTTCGTACCTTCCAGAGATCTGTTTATCTGGTAATGGGGGTACAGCTACTAAACTGAATTTCTCACACAATCTTTCATGTAACCAGTCAAAGTGCTTATATCTTCTTGATACTTGTATGTTATTAAATGAGGGTGTCAGTTGATAGGCTATGAAACTTTTTAGACCCTTTAGTTTTGTTTCTTTCTTGGGGGATGTTACCAAAACTGTATATTGATTTGAAGGGGTAATAGCTGGCCAGGCAAAAGTTGACTCATCCAACTTAACTATTCTAATAATTCTTGATTCATCAACATTAACTTTTAAGGTTCCTAAAATGTAACTCTCTCCCCCAGATTTAACAAAAGTAGAAAATCTATTTAAGCTCTTTTTGGTCACAGTACCTTTATTATCAATTCCTCCAAAGCTGGCCTCACTGAAATTATCAGCATCACCTCTGGGATTTAAATTGTGGTTTGTTTCATTCGAATAAAGTTGTTCATGCTGATGATGGGCATTGCCTTGGATTTCTGAATATGGATCTTCATCCCAATCATCATCCCAGCCGTCATTGTCATTTGCTGCAACCGGTTGTGGCTGAGCACTGCTTCCCCAGTCATCCATAAGATTGGGAGTAGGTGTAAGTAAAGGTGCTGGTATTTGGGGTGGACCTCCACTATTGGCAGATATTTTTTCCACATAAGCTTCAGGAAATAAACCTGATTTTCCATTTTTATTGACACCTTCCCACCATCCTTCGCCAACATCAGTTCTTGTCACTGTAAGAGTCTCACCAGATGATATTGACATTTCAGCAGTGCCTGGTTCACCATCGAAGTCATATAAAGCACGCACTTGGAAAGACATCTTTGTTACTGGATGTCGTACGCTTTTAAGAAAGTCGTTAGCACATTTATTGCCTTAATTAACGGAAATTAAAGGTTATGAACTTGCACTTTGTAATATGTTAACACTCATTTAACCTCAAATGTCTGGAGAAAAATAGAAATGTCTCGTTTAAAAAATCTACTCTTTTTGATTTCCAAACTACAATTAAATAAATTACTACCTAATTTTTATTATAGAAGATACGCTCCACAAAGGCATCACTATTTACTGCTGATTAATTCATTACTTCAGTGTAACTCATAAAAGTCATCAACCGACTCATTAAACTGAACAATACGTCATTCAAAAACAAAACGTTTCAATCGTTTACCATTGATGGCGCTGTAACTTTTTAACGTACAGAGTGTATAAAAATAAGTTGCCAGTTATCAGTAATTAATTAAAATATTTTTTTACTACTATTCAATACATTATGCTGTCTTAAAAAACCATAATGGCCGACATTAGTGACAATGCGACAACAATTGAAAAAGAATGATGGCCGACAACAGCAACAATTAAAAAAGAATGATGGCCGACAACGGCAACAATTAGAAAAGAATGATGGCCGACAACGGCAACAATTAGAAAAGAATGATGGCCGACACTACGTCATAGTGGAGCAATAAAAATGGCCGACTATTGACAATACGAATAAACGCAAAATAAAATTTTTTTTAATCATCACATGTATAAAAAAACTNAACTTAGAGCTAAAATCTTTTTTTAATGATATATATATAAAAAATATGAGTGCTTTCAGCACACGGAAAATTCCGACTCTTGCCCTCTAACTATTGCTGTCACTTATGTAAATACTTTAAAGCATATGAATATAAACAATTAGAATCAAAACGTTTTTCAAACAATTATTAACACAAAGAAGTGATGAAACAAATTGTTCACAAAAGTGAATTTCGACCACTCGAAGCAAAGATGCTAAGTTTCGAGCTCACAGTGACTGATAGGTATATTTAAAAACATTTTAACGAAAGAAAAAAAAAATTAATGTTTAACAAATTTAATTTTTGTTTTGGTTTATCAAAAAAAGTATACAAACGCCTGTTAAGCTATTGTAATTTTGAATTAAATTGTAAAACAAAAACAAAAGTTGTTCTCTGAGTTTTTACAATAAAACAAGGTTCTGTTATATGCGGATCTGTCTCGAATGACGTGATTATAAACACTTAATAGTGTATTAGTTAACACTGAATTAAGTCATCGTTTAAACAGAAGAATACATTTAAATATAATAATTGTTGGTGTTCTCTTTAGAAACTTACTTTTATTACAGAATCAATACTTTTATGCTTAGATTAATCATATTTACCTAAAGCAGTTATAAAAATTATTAGATAATTGGAAACTAAGCTAATGTAAAATGTAGAAAGTGTTCAAAGTTCAAACACAGTTTAGTTTGTTTTATTATCAAAATACTTCAATGCTTATAAGGAACATTATAAATTCGCATTTTGTTACATTATTTGACATATATTTAAATTAAAATTGTTAATTATACGAATCATAGTTTTCCTGAGTGTTAGTAAAGAAATAATAAGTAAAAAGTTTTTTTACCAAAACAGTAATCATTGTAATGTTTGTTTTTAAATTTATCGATGTTACGCTAAAAGTATGAAATNATTTTCAGTACGTTATCATGAAGTTGAAACCCTAAGAATCTTTAAGTTGATTACGATTAGCCAATATTCACACGTTATAACTGTTAGATAAATAAGCAGGGAGAGAGCGAATGTAAAGATAGGAGACGAAAAATTAGAAGAAGTGGCTGATTTTAGGTATCTAAGAAGTCAGGACAGAAGGAGTAGTAGGGATATAAACAGAGGATTATGGAAGTCAATAAGAAATAGGCGAGATAAGTTGGTAGGACAACTCCTCAGCCATGAAGGGCTAGTCAGAGACATGTTAGAGGCAGAAACAGGAGTTAAGATTAAATTACTGTTCGTAAATAGTTAAGGATGTGGGATGTTCTGGTTTTAGGGAAATGTAAAGATTAGCCCAGGATAGGAAAGAAAAAAAAAGCAGGTGCGTGTTCAACCAGTCTTAGGACTATCGATCTTATAATGATAATAACTGTTAAAAATCAATTTGATCTAACGCTGCCCTTACTATAGCATAACTGTAACAAAAAAAAATAATAGAGATTAAAGAGAGAACTGTGATAACCGATGATGTTTAATTTTAGAAAGAAAATGCAATAAATACATGTGCATGTCGTTAATAGCTTCTTTTGCAAGTGCCAGAAATTTGAAGTTTTGCAACAAATACCTAAAGCGTGTTGTGAAAAGCGTTTCTAACAATAAGTACAGTATAAATACTACAGCAGCCAAGCGTTTTACATTATTAACGAGAGCTCACCTTTGGAACCAAGTGATTGTTTAAGAAGAATTCGTTAAAAAAAGCTTAAAAAATTGCAAAACTATAGCTAAAAATGCCCTTTACCCATGTAGGAATAAAAGGGTACAAAAAGCCTAAAGAGAGAGTAATAAGAAAAAAGAAAAAGTAGTATAAGAAAATTCATTAAAAAGAGAAAAAAAAAACAAAAGGAGGGAAGAAACACGTAGAATGTCTAATCGTTTGTTTTATTTCGAAAATGTGTAGATATTATAATTAGTAGATCTGTTCTAACGTAATTAATTAAGAAGTGGAAGTTGGATGATTATTTCTTCTGCCACTCAGCTTTTTCCGACTTCTTTGGCTGCGAAAAATAAACGATTGTCTAATAACAATACATTTACTATAATTTAAAAGATACAATCCAGAGTGGTTTCTCTCTAAACAGGAGTTCGAACAGGAAAATTCGTGCTCTTGTAATATCATCATAAATAAATTTAAGGTATTTAAGTTAAATAAAACGAAACTTTGGATTTTTAATTATAATCGTAAAATCTAAAGTTTCTTTAGTTTATTAATTTATTATAATGCACCTCTATGCTAAAGCTTATTTTTTAAAAATGCATTTAGAAAGACTGTTTAATAATCCCCATTAACCTTTGTAATTTTATTGCTGGTTTGTATCTTTCTTATCTACACACCAGTATACACCTGTCGAAAATCTTTAACCAACCATGCAAAATGCCTTCCACTTGGAACTTACAATACGTACTTTCCTATAGCTGGGACGTTTAAAATTGGCACAGTCCGCAATAAAATTGTCGCATTTACTTTCTTCTTTCAACTTACTAACTAAACTAGACCGGTTGCTGACAGAACGCCTATTTTCACTCACGACAGTCGTTAAAGGGAATATCGTAATCATAAAAAAGAGATGCCAGGTGGGAATTGCAGCGGACACTAATAAATAAAAAGGAATAACATTACACCAATTAAGGTGTAACAGAAAGAGATGCAGACAAGCAAGAACAAAGCAAAGGCAAAGTTGCTTGTTTAATGATATAAGTCCAATCAGGCAGTTATAAAGCCGACCCTGATCTTTTGCGTACCTAAGCAACCTCTAACTGCTGCACCGTTTACTGTTATTCGGTTATCTCTTTTCACTTTGTCTGCACTACTCATGAAGTATTTCCTAACTTAACTAACTACTACAGTCTTAAGTGGAAACAAGAATGAAGATACGTCTGTTCTTACAGATAATTTATTACGGACTTTGCCAATTTTGATCGTTTCAACTGTACTTCTTGAAAATGTCCGGGAATTTTACAGAAGCTGCAATTATTAGGTTCGAACAACGTAAGGGAGAACAACTACCACCTGCGATACACCATAATCATCAACCCTACATATATTCCATGCGTTTGAAATACATACAGGTGATAAAATATACATGTGGTAGGTTAAAAATTTTCCTAACGTATACCTACAGTTTGTATTTATTCTATACAGAGTGTTATGAAGAAAGTTGAAGCAATTTACACTGTTATTAATTCGTAATACATTTTCTTACCTCTTTGTCTTCTTCTTCGAGGGTGAATTCTTTCTTTTTAACTACTTTGAGTTGGTTACGGAAGTTGAATTCTGCTGCCTTCTTTTGTAATTTGGCAAATTTGTTTTCATATTTAGATACCTTTTTAAGGGTTGGTTTGATACTGGAACAAATACAGGATCGCAAGTTGTAATAATAGCACATTCCTTTGCCGTATTTTATTTAAAAATTAAATTGTCTTTTAGACGTTACTTACAATTTGCCTCTTAGGTCGTTAACTTGGCTGTTCAAGTCGGCAATCTAAATAGAAACACATCTTTTTAATAATAATTTGATTTCGTTTAAAAATTGTAGAAATACCTTTGCTCGTTAGGTACTATTGAAATTTCAAATTATGAATTATACTATAGGCGAGCAAAAATATTTTGCGACAACTAAAGGCACAAATAGTGATGCTTGAAGCTGATTCCAGTTAATGTAATAGCTACAAATACACACTACAATAATGGTTTAGTGTTGAAATTGAAAGTTAGCAGTTAATGCTCACGTGAATGTCAAGGAAAGAAGGAAAATTCGGAAAAATGCTACAAAAATTGACAGTACGTAATGTGCATGTGTACAACTGCGATATAAGTAAGTGTAAAAAGTTCTACAAAAGGAACTTACAAAAGAACAGAGTAAAATGCATTGCAGAGTAAAAATATATAGAAATTAATACAGGATGGCATCAAATATGCTTGTACAAGACGCTATTTGAAAAATAATTACAGATTTATAGCGTTAAGTAACTATTACTGTTATCAGTAGGTATTTTTTAAAACAATTTTGAAATTTTCTGTGGTCCATGGGTTGTAAAAAGACATAATTTTAACGAAAAAAAAAATATAAAACAATTTTTGAAATTATTAGTTCGGAAAAGTGTTTAAAAACTTAAGGCTAAAAACATTAGCTCAAATTTACCTGACAGGGCACATAATTATTTAAAGTAATTAATATATGTAACAACAGCAATAAGTAATTTAAACTTAAAATTCTTAAACAGTTTCTGATTTGACGTAAGGAATTTTTTGTTTCAAAGGGCGCCCCTTGCAAGTACATCGTGCGCCATCCTGCACAATTTCAAACAGGTCCGTACTTTCAAAATTTCATATCTTACTTAAAACTCGTATGTGTATCGATGTGTATACTAGATACAAAAAAATTGTACATTACATAACAATGTATAAGTACATGTGGTATTGTGGACGCCACAAAACTATGTCTGTTATTATCATCTGTTGTTGTAGCAAACACCACTTTTGTGGATTGTTAAAAATCTGCAGTAAAAAGTATAAATAATATCATAAAAAAAGAAAAAAAAAACGGGGAGGTGTATATGTACATATAAAATATATTTATGTCTGGAAAGGTAAATTATGGGACATTTTTAGTGCAAGACCTTTGCTGGTCTTTATCAGCTTTTAATGACGTAGCCTTGCTTACTGAATGGCGATCGCTGACTTAGGGGTGACGGGTAATTACTAAAATTACTAATTACAACCAGGTGCTCAAAAAGAAAATGATACAAAACTGATTCTGAAAGGGTTACAGTATATAATTGTAACGTCCAATAGATGGCACTTCACCTTGTACAGTTCCGTTTCCGGTTTTTATAAAGGTATTATCTACATCGCCCCGTTAACTTTGCCCTCAATAATTGACCTTCAAAGCAAGGTTGTGCAGAATCTAAGTAAACAAGCATGAAGTGCCATACCAGTTAGAAAGCAAACGGAAAAAGGGTTATTTATAACAAAAAAATATAAAATAATAATAAATAAATAAGTTCATGCAAGGTAATAATTAAACAATTAAGCGTAAAGTTGTCGCTTCTTGTACCACTACAAGGTCAATAACGAATGATATAATCAAAAACAAAATACCCTGGAATTTTTGAAGAATTACCAGCCAGTAGTGTTACCAAACTTTTGCCTTACAATTAGAATTTTTGTAATTACGAACATTTTCTTCAGATTTGTACCTTTTAAGTCAACAAAAGCATTTTAAGAAGATGTTGTACGTGTTCTATATTTTGTAAAAAAAAAAAATGGTAAAATAAGTTTTAGTGCAGTAAAGTGTGTTACATTCGTGTTTTTATTGTTTGAGAAAATTAATGTAGTTTTGGGATTCTTTTAAGGCCAAATTTATAACACGTCTTATTACCTCATTCCCTCAAAAGTGTTTTTTTTTTTAATGAAATTGATCATAGGCTTTTAAGTCTGTAATAAAGAAGCAAACAGCAGAAAGCAGAATTCAGGCATTAGATAAATTATGTACTGCAAAATATTCAGAATCAATTTCGTTTTATTTAAATATAATAATAGATCTGACAGAAAGTAAAACTTTGTGCTTGAAGATTAAAAATGAATGATCACTTAGGCCTGTTTTGTGCATCGTATATTACGTAAGATTATCATTCTTCACTTTGAACAACAGCCCTGGGTTTATTTTACAAAAACAGAAAGAAAATGATTAAAAACATAACGAATTTTGATGAGCTCGATAGTGTTAGTTTTGCGGGATGTTAGGGATATGGCATAACACTTCATGTAGCTTTTTGTACTGTTCATCACATGTGTGCATCACCTAACCTCAGGACTGATAAAAGAATTTGTTCATAACAAATACTGAATTTTGTATCAAATTTATATTAAAACATGTGTAGGCATTCAGCATTCAGTATTTGTTAACGAATTTGCTTTTTTATAACGAACGTGTTCTCTGATAAGTAAAAACAAATGAAATATTAATATGAAAATTAATTTTTCAATTTTTTACTCACTGTAAACTACCTCATTTTGTTGCTGTTGTCATACCCTCGTCGGGAAGGTGTGACAGCAACAACAAATTTTCCCTGATTAACCTGAGGTATTTTATAGTGAGTAAAAAATTGAAAAATGAAATTTCATATCAAAAATGTCAACGTATTTCATAAAAACAAATGAAACACAAAAATAAAAAAAGTTGAAAATCAAAGAACACCATGTATCGTTTTGCAACAAAAAAAATGTCGGTAATGCAGTATGCCGAAAAAAAAATCATTGTTGAATTAATAAACGTGTCTATATAAATATATATAAATATTTATATATA